CTCCGATTGGACACCTACACAGCTAAACCCCGCCCCTTCCCTGAGCCCTGCCCTCTGATTGGCTCACCACGGCTGCCCCTCCAGCACCGGCAACAGCAGCAGCGCCAACAGCAACCCCAGCGCGTTCACCACCGTCTCCTGCCCAGTATAAACCAGTATAAACCAGTATAAACCAGTACAAACCAGAACACACCAGTACAGACCAGTATAAACCAGTATAGACCAGTATAAAAGAGTACAGACCAGTACAGACCAGCAGAGACCAGTCCCTTCTCGTCCCCCCCAGTACATCCCAGTATATCCCAGTATATCCCAGTTCCCTCCCAGTCCCTCCCAGTCCATCCCAGTCCCTCCCATTCCTTCCCAGTATATCCCAGTCCCTCCCAGTTCCATTCCACTCCCTCCCAGTATATCCCAGTCCCTCCCAGTCCATCCCAGTCCCTCCCATTCCTTCCCAGTATATCCCAGTCCCTCCCAGTTCCATTCCACTCCCTCCCAGTCCATCCCAATCCCTCCCAGTTTCATTCCACTCCCTCCCAGTCCATCCCAGTCCCTCCCAATCTCTCCCATTCCTTCCCAGTCCCTTCCCAGTCCCTCCCAGTTCCATCCCAGTCCCTCCCAGTCCATCCCAATCCCTGCCATTCCTTCCCAGTCCCCTCCCAGTATATCCCAGTTCCCTCCCAGTTTCATCCCTTTCCCTCCCAGTCCCTCTCAATCTCTCCCATTCCTTCCCAGTCCCTTCCTGGTCTCTCCCAGTTCCATCCCACTCCCTCCCAGTATATCCCAGTACCTCCCAGTCCATCCCAGTCCCCTCCCATTCCTTCCCAGTCCCATTCCAGTCCATCCCAGTCCCTCCCAGTTCCATCCCAGTCCCTCCCAGTCCCAGTCCACCTCAATCCCTCCCATTCCTTCCCAGTCCCCTTACAGTCCATCCCAGTCCATCCCAGTTCCATCCCAGTCCATCCCAGTTCCATCCCAGTCCCTCCCTCCTTCCCAGTCCCATTCCAGTCCATCCCAGTCCCTCCCAGTTCCATCCCAGTCCCTCCCAGTCCATCCCATTCCTTCCCAGTCCCATTCCAGTCCATCCCAGTCCCTCCCAGTTCCATCCCAGTCCCTCCCAGTCCATCCCATTCCTTCCCAGTCCCATTCCAGTCCATCCCAGTCCCTCCCAGTTCCATCCCACTCCCTCCCAGTCCATCCCAGTCCTTCCCAGTTCCATCCCACTCCCTCCCAGTCCATCCCAGTCCCTCCCATTCCTTCCCAGTCCCATTCCAGTCCATCCCAGTCCCTCCCCGTTCCATCCCAGTCCCTCCCATTCTTTCCCAGTCCCATTCCAGTCCCTCCCAGTTCCATCCCAGTCCCTCCCAGTCCCTCCCAGTTCCTCCCAGTCCCTCCCATTAACCTGACTGCCATCCTTGGCCGCCACCTCGGCCGCGTTGTCCCTCCTGGCCTGATGAACAGCAATGGCCGCCCTGGTGGCACCGCCTGCCACCCCCACCACGCTCTGAAGGGGGGG